ACTCGGCAAACTTTGATTGTTTTTCACTTGTAAGTCTGGTAAGTCAAAAACGACTTCTATATAAACTTTACTAAGGAAAAATCTCTAAGCTTTTAGCTACTTACTTTCTCTTAATGTTTTTAATCGGCTTTCATCGTTTCAATACGCGTGAATTTTCAGAGCCGGGCTCTTCCTAATTTGCATAATCCGTAATCGGCCCGTGGGCATTACGACTGCATAATGACCGCTTAGATCTCGCTCTTAGTCAATCAGAGCGGGTGTTATATCGGCCACAAGCCAAAGCCATATAATAATTTCATTTAAAACACTGGCAGGTAGTCATAATTTTGCTCCTTGATTTCACACTATCTTTGCCTTTATCACTTCTACAGAATGAAATGATATAATAATTTCATTTCTCTTTACTAGGAAATTACCAGGAAACCCTGAACGATGCAACAGCCGCTGTTACTTTGCAACCAACTTTCGTTAAAGCCATAGCAAGTGGTAAGTTCTTGACGATCATTTTTGTTGACTTGTGTATGACAAGTCTAGATGAATTACAAAAAGACTGCTGAATGTAAGTTCATAGGCCTTTCAATAAAGCAGCCAGCTCTAACTGACAGGAAGACTTATTTTACTGTTAGTTAGTCTGCCTTTTCCCAATTTTTCTTGTTATAATAATGTCATCGATTCTTACGTTCGACCGTATACAATGTGGTCTTTTTCCTTGTCACTAAACTGGTAACCTGTCAGAAGTACTAATAGTGTTTTAAGAAAAATATTATCGGGGGTCCTGCGCGCCGAAGGGAAGCCATCGGCTTTACGTACGTCCGTACGTAGGCCCGTACGCCAAGTCCCATACCTTGAAAAATAAGAGATTGGCACCATTACCATATCAAAGGTACATCTTTGCTATTGGACATCCACGTTATGGTTACTTGACAGCTGTCAAAACAAGGTATCCACTGATCAGTGTTACGTGATCATATCGCGGGCTCCAGTGGCGCGGGTTTTTTTTATTGACCGCTGACCAAGTGCTGGTTTTTGGGTTGAATCGCGGGCTCAAGCCAGGTTATTACTCTGGGCCGGATTGTTCAAAGCCCGATTAAGCTAATCCAGGATTATCGAGAATTTTAATTTTAGTTTTGTAACTTTTAGATGCTGTTTTCTATTCATATTGTTTGCCATTCAGGTTTGAATTTGAAAAATGTCCAAAACATGAGCAATAAGAAACATTTTTACACAAGAAAAATGGATAATTCGATTAACTTTTAATCCTGGGTTAGTGTCAACCGGCTTTCGAACAACCCGGTCCTGGGTGAGAAGTCAGGAGTACGTGCAAAGGCAAAATTTCGGTGCAAATTAACCCCTAGCACGTTGTTGACTTTTCGGCTAGGGTAAATCTATACATTGTTGTTCTTTTTCAGGAGCCAATGCCTGTGTAAAGCTGAAGCGTTACAATGAAGCCACGACCTGGTGTGATAAGGGATTGGCAGTATCCTTTGAAACATGGTGTCACATTCATTTCCCGTCTTAAAA